TTCGCAGATCGCAGCCCCCCAGGGATGGCGAGGTCTAATTTGAATCCGCGCGTGGCCCTCACTGTGCTGGGCCCCCCAGCAGGCCTCGAAAATGGCGACAGTTTCGCAGATCGCAGCCCCCCAGGATGGCGAGGTCTAATTTGAATCCGCGCGTGGCCCTCACTGTGCTGGGCCCCCCAGCAGGCCTCGAAAATGGCGACAGTTTCGCAGATCGCAGCCCCCCAGGGATGGCGAGGTCTAATTTGAATCCGCGCGTGGCCCTCACTGTGCTGGGCCCCCCAGCAGGCCTCGAAAATGGCGACAGTTTCGCAGATCGCAGCCCCCCAGGGATGGCGAGGTCTAATTTGAATCTGCGCGTGGCCCTCACTGTGCTGGGCCCCCCAGCAGGCCTCGAAAATGGCGACAGTTTCGCAGATCGCAGCCCCCCAGGGATGGCGAGGTCTAATTTGAATCCGCGCGTGGCCCTCACTGTGCTGGGCCCCCCAGCAGGCCTCGAAAATGGCGACAGTTTCGCAGATCGCAGCCCCCCAGGGATGGCGAGGTCTAATTTGAATCCGCGCGTGGCCCTCACTGTGCTGGGCCCCCCAGCAGGCCTCGAAAATGGCGACAGTTTCGCAGATCGCAGCCCCCCAGGGATGGCGAGGTTTAATTTGAATCCGCGCGTGGCCCTCACTGTGCTGGGCCCCCCAGCAGGCCTCGAAAATGGCGACAGTTTCGCAGATCGCAGCCCCCCAGGATGGCGAGGTCTAATTTGAATCCGCCGTGGACCCTCACTGTGCTGGGCCCCCCAGCAGGCCTCGAAAATGGCGACAGTTTCGCAGATCGCAGCCCCCCAGGGATGGCGAGGTCTAATTTGAATCTGCCCGTGGCCCTCACTGTGCTGGGCCCCCCAGCAGGCCTCGAAAATGGCGACAGTTTCGCAGATCGCAGCCCCCCAGGGATGGCGAGGTCTAATTTGAATCCGCGCGTGGCCCTCACTGTGCTGGGCCCCCCAGCAGGCCTCGAAAATGGCGACAGTTTCGCAGATCGCAGCCCCCCAGGGATGGCGAGGTCTAATTTCAATCTGCCCGTGGCCCTCACTGTGCTGGGCCCCCCAGCAGGCCTCGAAAATGGCGACAGTTTCGCAGATCGCAGCCCCCCGCAGGCAAGACAGGAAGAGGCGGGAGGAGAAGGGACGCGACCACACTGCTCAATTCAAAACGAATACCCCAACCAAGGAGGGTTGGGAATAAAAATAAAATCGGCATCACCAGCATCAGCATCATTACCAGCATCATCGTCATCATCGTCAGCATCATCATCAGCATCATCGGTATCATCAGCATCATCTGCATCATCGTCATCATCATCATCAGCATCATCATCATGATCGTCATCATCATCATCATCATCATCATCATCATCATCATCATCATCATCATCATCATCATCAGCATCATAACCAGCATAACCATCAACCTCACCACCATCAGCTTCCTCTTGCTATGATTCCTCATCATCCTGCTCTTCCTCCGCCTGAAATTCCTCCTCCCCCTGCTCCTCCTCATCCTCCTCATCCTCCTGATCCGCCTCCTCCTCCTCCTCCGCATCCTCCTCCTCCTCCCCCTCCTCCTCCTTCGCTTCCTCCTCATCGTCCTCCTCTGCCTCCTCACCCTGAATTTCCTCCGCCTCCTCCTCCTACTCCTCCTCCCCCTCCTCCTCCTCCGCCTCCTCATCCGCCTCATCCGCCGCCTCCTCCCCCTCCTCCTCCTTGTCCTCCTCCTCCTCCTCCTCATCCTCTGCCTACTCCTCCTCCTCCGCCTCCTCCTCCGCTTCCCCCTCATCCTCCTCTTTTCGATATTGCACACTCCCGAAAGTGCCACCTACAGCGGATTATCGAGGATACTCGAGTTCCGAGTTCCGAGCTCCTCCTCCTCCTCCTCCTCATCCTCCTCTTCCTCCTCCTCCTCCTCCTCCTCCTCCTCCTCCTCCTCCTCCTCCTCCTCCTCCTCCTCCTCCTCCTCCTCCTCCCTCCTCCTCCTGCCTCCTCCTCCCTCCTCCTCCTCCTCCTCCTCCTCCTCCTCCCCTCCTCCTCCTCCTCCTCCTCCTCCTCCTCCTCCTCCTCCTCCTCCTCGCCTCCTCCTCCTCCTCCTCCTCCGCCTCCTCCTCCTCCTCCTCTCCTCCTCCTCCTCATCCTCCTCCTCCTCCTCCTCCTCCTCTTTCCTACCTCCTCCTCCGCCTCCTCCTCCTCCTCCTCCTCCTCCTCTTCCTCCTCCCCTCCTCCTCATCTCCTCCTCCTCCTCCTCCTCCTCCTCCTCCTCCTCATCATCATCATCATCATCATCATCATCATCATCATCATCATCATCATCATCATCATCATCATCATCATCATCAGCAGCATCATCATCATCATCATCATCATCATCATCATCATCCAGCATCATCATCATCATCAGCAGCATCATCAGCATCATCATCATCATCATCATCATCATCATCATCATCATCATCATCATCATCACATCATCATCGTCATCAGTCATCATCATCATCATCATCCAATCATCAATCATCATCATCATAATCATCATCATCACATCAGCATCAGCATCATCATCATCATCAGCATCATCATCATCATCATCATCATCATCATCATCATCATCACATCATCATCATCATCATCAGCATCATCATCAGCATCAGCATCATCATCATTATCAGCATCAGCATCAGCATCATCATCATCATCAGCAGCAGCAGCATCATCATCATCATCATCATCAGCAGCAGCAGCAGCAGCAGCATCAGCATCAGCATCAGCATCAGCATCAGCATCACCATCATCATCGTTATCATCATCATCATCAGCATCATCATCATCATCAGCAGCATCGTCATCATCATCATCATCATCATCATCAGTGTCAGAATCATCATCATCATCATCAGCATCATCATCAGCATCATCAGCAGCCGCATCAGCATCACCATCATCAGCATCATCATCATCATAATCATCATCATCATCATCATCATCATCATCATCATCGTCATAGTCATCAGCAGCAGCAGCATCATCAGCATCATCACCACCACCATCATCATCAGCATCAACAGCATCAGCATCATCGTCATTATCATAAGCATCATCAGCTCCATCGTCATCATCATCATCAGCATCATCAGCAGCATCATCGTCATCAACGACCAGCATCCTGATCATCGCCATCAGTATCAGCATCAACATCATCATCAGCATCGTGATCATCAGCATCATCATCATCATCAGCATCATCATGACCAGCATCGCATCATCAGCATCATCAGCAGCAGCATCAGAATCGTCATCATCATCATTATCAGCAGCATCATCAGCATCATCATCAGCATCAGCAGCAGATGCATCAGCATCACCATGATGATCATCTTCATCATCATCATCATCATCAGCATGATCACCAGCATTATCATCATCAGCATTATCACCATCATAATCCTCATGAACATCATCATCATCATCATCATCATCATTAGCAGCATCGTCGTCATCATCAGCGTCAGCGTCAGCATCATTATCACCATCATCGTCAGCGTCATCAGCACTACCGTCATCATAGTAATCATAGTCAGCGTAGCCATCATCCTCATCATCAGCATCATCATCAGTATCCTCATCAGTAGCAGCATCAGCATCAGCATCATCATCAGTATCAGTATCAGCATCATCATCATCAGCAGCAACAGCAGCATCATCATCATCAGCATCATCAGCATCATCATCATTAGCATAATCATCCTCATGATCATCATCAGCATCGTCAGCATCATCACCATCATCAGCAGCATCATCAGTGTCAGCATCATCATTGGCATCATCTTCAGCAGCATCACGATCTGAATTATCACCAGCAGCATCATCAGCATCATCACCATCATCGGCAGCATCATCATCAGTATCGACATCATCAGCAGCAGCATCATCATCGCCATCATGATCATCAGCATCATCATCATCATCAGCATCATCAGCATCATCATCAGCATCGTATTCATCAGCAGCAGCAGCAGCAGCAACAGCATCATCATCACCATCAACATCATCATCATCAACATCATCATCATCAGCATCATCATCAGCAGCAGCATCAGCATCCTCATCATCAGCAGCAGCATCAGCACCATTATCATGATCAGCAGCAGCATCATCATCATCGGCATCATCATCACAAGCATCAGCATCAGCATCATCAGCAGCAGCATCAGCATCAGCATCATCATCATCATCAGCATCATCAGCATCAGCGTCAGTATACCTGCCACCATCGGTATTCATGGCATCCTCATTGGTATCCCTGCCGCCATGCCGTCCTGCCTCCCTCCATCCATCCTCCAGTCATCCATCCGTCTCTCCATCCAAACATCCCTCTATCCATACATCCATCCATCCTCCTGCTCACCCTCTGTCCTGTCCCGTCTCCATTTAAGCCCCCAGCAGCCCACAGCTGACCCAAAACTTCCACACTGCTAGATTTCTCGATCCTCAAGGAGTGAGAAGAGGGAGATGGAGGAGAGGAGGAGGACGAGGAGGAAGAGGATGAGGAGGAGGAGCAGGAGGAGGAGGAGGAGGAGGGGGGGAGGCGGGACCGGGGAGGGAGGGGGTGGTAGGGACAGAGGGGGTAGAGGGAGGCGGAGAGCGAGAGCCGAGAGAGAGCGAGATATAGGTAACGGTACAAGGAGGGATGAATAGAAAAGTGAAGAGGGAGAGAGAGAGAGGAGGAAGAGACCATAGGGAGCGAGAGAGCAAGAGAGCGTGAGAGAGCGAGCTAGATCTATAGACCTATACAGAGGGGGGTGGGGGCGGGACAAGGGCGGAGACGGCGACAGAGACAGGAGGAGGGAGAAGGAGGATGGAGACGGTGGAGAAGGACAGAGACAGAGGAGCAGCAGCAGCAGCACCAGCAGGACGCAGCAGCTGGAAGACGGAAGAGGAGGAGGCGGCGGCACAGCGCTCGCGCCTGGATCGCCTGCGGTCTCGATCTCTGTCGCGGTCCCTGGAGCGCTTCTTGCTCCTGACACGCAGTGCGGGCACAACGGGGGCAGGGTGACGGGGTGAGAAGGAAGGAGGGGCCTCCTCCTCCTCCTCCTCCTCCTCCTCCTCCTCCTCCTCCTCCTCCTCCTCCTCCTCCTCCTCCTCCTGCTCCACCTCCTCCAAGTTGTCCTGGTCCTCCTTTCCCGCGAGGAAGCGGAAGCGCCCGCAGGGCGGGGGGGGAGAAGGCGAGGGAAGGAGGAGGGAATGGAAAGAGAGAATGGGGTGGGCGGCAGGGGAAGGAAAAGGGGGATGGGCGGGAAGGCGAGGGAAGGAAGAGGACGGGGAGAAGGGGGAGGAGGGCTGCTGCCGCCGCCACTGGGGGCAAAGGGGATGGACGGAGGAGCTGCCGCTGCCAAACAGGGTGCCGAGAGGCCCTCCCTTCCGCATTCGCACACACCCAAAGCACGACAATGGATGGCCAATGCTTAAGCCGATCCCGCTCACGATCTGTGCCGCTCACTGCTGGCTGAGGCAAAGCTATGTACAGGATGGAGACGCGTTCGATGGCAAACTCCTGTCAAGACGACTCGGCCTCGTGCTTCGCCGAGACAAAACGTGGGCACTATGAGGCAAAAGCCAGACGGTACGCCGCATGCTGGCGCTAGTGCCTACGAGGGGGAGGGTGCATACGAGGAGGGAAGGAGGGAGACTCCAACGCACTCAGGCAGCCTTGTGTCCGCAGTTGGACAGAGGGGGAGAGGAGTGAGGGGGGAGGCCGGGGAGGCGGACGGGGAGGCGGAGGCGAAGGTGAGGCGGGGTCGGGGGCGGGGGCAGAAGGGGAGGGGGGGATAGGGGGAGCGGACAAGCTAGGCGCGTTCGTGCCACATCTGACATCCTATCCCTCCCTCCCGTCTCTTCCAATTACACCGAATGTTCTCTATCCGCGGACGCGTGTCATGGCCGAACTGGAAGTCCATTTCCCCAGCAAAGCACCCTATAACTAATCGCGGCAAAGGTGGCCTGCGGGACCTGGGGGGCAGGTGGGAACTGCGGGACTTGTGCGACCTGTGGGATCCGTCGACCCCGTTGGACCTGTGGGGCTGGTGGGAACTGTGGACTGTGGGGCCTGCGTGCCTGCGACGCCTGTGAGACGAGTGGGACTTGTGGGACCTGCAGGACCTGCCGGACCTGTGGACGTGTGGGGCCTGTGGAGCTTGTCAAACCTGTGGTGCCTGTGGGGCCTGAGGAACCTGTGAGACCTGTGGGACCTGTGAGACACGTGGGGCCTGTGGGGCCCGCGAGGCCTGCGATACCTGGGGGACCTGCGAGGCCCGCGGGATCCAGAAAATTGGTCCAAACGAGGGGAACAAAGCGACGACCCGAACATGAGGCGCACGCCGCAGCGAGAATTCTTTGCTCAACCGAAAACCGCAACATCACGGAAAAAACAACAAAAAGTGCTACGTCACGCGGAAGTCCCCCTAAGTGCATACCATATTATTGTCACGCTCTACTGAGGAACTCTGCCTATGAGCATCTGGGTGCGAGAGCGAGCCCCCGTAGACGACAGGCGCGGCAATAACGACGACGACGACGACGACGACGACGACGACGACGACGACGACGACGACGATAACGACGACTTCAGTGACGTCCTCCTCCTCCTCCTCCTCCTCCTCCTCCTTCTCCTCGTGAACATGTTTCAGGAGAGACGGGGGAAACACAAGCGGAAGAGCGAGGAGGAGTTCCTCTTGCCGTTCTCCCCGAGACAACTCGGGCAAGCACGCATGATGTTGCTACTACGCCCGCTTTCTGGCGCACTACTCGCGTCGCCTGATGGCACTTGGGGTCCCCAAGAGCCACGCCGGCTGCATCGGGGTAACCATGTGTGTGGGCCTTAGTACACATGAATATGAGCGTGGGTGGTCTGAGTGTGAGCGAGGCGGACTGTGAGTGGACCTGGATATGATCGAGCCTGGGTATGGGCGAGTCTGCGTAGAGCCAATGTGAGTACGGGTGGGTCTGAGTACGAGTGAGTACGAGTGCGAGCGAGTCCAAGTGCGAGTGGGTCTGCGTGCGAACGGGTCTGAGTGTGGGTGAGTCTGAGTTTGAGTGTGCTCAATACAAAACTAAGTATGAATGAGCCTGGGTGCGAGGTAGTCTACGTATGAATGCGTCTAAGGGCTAGTGAGTGAGTGTAAGTGTGAGTTGGTCTGGGTGTGGGTGAGCCTGAATTTGAGCAAGTCTTAGTATGAGCGGGTAAGTGTGAGTCTGAGGGTCATCGACTATGGATATGGGCGACTCCGAATGTGATGAGCGAGTCTGAGCAACGAAGAGGTGCTGATGAGTAAGTCTGGGTGCGAATGGGTGCGTCCGAGTGGGGCAAAGGGGAAGGAGGTGAGTGAGTGAGTGAGTGAGTGAGTGAGTGAGTGAGTGAGTGAGTGAGTGAGTGAGTGAGTGAGTGAGTGAGTGGGGCACACAATCCCAAAGAAAAGTCTGGGAGGGGCAAAAACAGGCAAACCGCCTGACACACACACACACACACACACACACAATCTGAGCGCGAATTTTGGAGTGTCCCCACTCCTGGCGGGTCCCCCTTGGGGTGCGCAAATGCCACGCCTGCTATATCACGGTGAACATTGAGCCAAAGGAAAAAAATGAGAAACGTCTGGGAGGGAGACAGAAACAGGCAAACCGCCTGAGACATCCCCCCAATCTGAACGCGAATCCTGGAGTGTCCCCACTCCTGGCGGCTCCCCGCTGAGGTGCCCAAATGCCACGCCTGCTAGATCGTGGCGAACATTGGACCACAAAAACCTGGACCTGGGGGCAGAAACGTGCAAACCGCCTGAGACATCCCCACAATCTCGTCGCGAACCCTGGAGTGTCCCCACCCCTGGCGGCTCCCCTTTGCGGTGCCCAAACGCCACGCATGCCATATCGCGGTGAGCACTGGACCACCACAAGAAAACAGCTTGGGGGGCAGAAACGAGCAAACCGCCCGAGACATCCTCACAAACAATTCCGGAAGCGAAAAATGTTGGGCACTCAAACATGCAAACCGCCCGAGACATCCCCACAATCTGGGCGCGAGTCCTGGAGTGTCCTGACCCTCGGCGCCCCCCCGTAGGAGTGCTGAAACCAGCGCCTCGCCTGAGACATTCTCAGAATCTGCTCCCAAAGCAGAGGATGTTGGGCACGCAAACAGGCAAACCGCCTGAGGCATCCCCACAATCGGGGCGCAAGTCCTGGAGTATCCTGACCCCTGGTGCCTCCCCCTGGAGTGCTCAAACCAGCGCCTCGCCTAAGACACCCTCAGAATCTGCTCCGAACGCAAAAGAGCTTGTGCACGCAAACATGCAAACCGCCCGAGACATCCCCACAATCTGGGCGCGAGTCCTGGAGTGTCCTGACCCTTGGCGCCCACTCCTTGGGATACGACCGAATGACTGTGGGTCTGACTGTGAGTGAGTCCGCATGTGAGCGAGTCGGACTGTGAGTGAGTCTGAGTGTGCGTGAGTCAGAGTGTGACTGAGTCAGAGTATGACTGAGTACGAGTGAGTCTGAGTGTGAATAAGTCACTCCGGTCGAGGAAGAGGAGGAAAAGAAGGAGGTGAGGAGAAGGTTCTCGGAGCCGTCTAAGCAAAAACCAAAAACCAGTTACTCATCCGGGAAAAACACATGGGAAATCAAATTTGAAATTCTGTGCGCACAGAAACAAATATACAGAGGTGGTGTGCAATCTTCCTCACAACTGCAGGGAAGAGAGAAGAGTAGTACTGATTTTGAGTCATTGTGAAGGGGGACGCAGAGGGATCACAATAGGAGGAGAAGGATGGAGGTGAGAACATAATGAGGAATGTCGAGGCACCGCGGTGGGCAGGCTAATACAGTAGGGACGGAGGAGAGACAAGAGATGAAGGACGGAAATGTGGACAGGAAAGACGGGAGGGAGGAAGCGAGGGCGAGAGGGACGCAAGAGGAGGAAAGGGAGGGAGGGGAGGGGAGGGGAGGCAAACTAAGTGCGCTCGCGTCATATCTGACGTTATACCCCTCCCTCCTATCCCTTACCATTGCGTAGATCTCTTGTCTATTCGCACAATTGGATGTCGTAGCATGGCATTGCATTACACGACATGACATGGTGTTGAAGATCAACGCGTAGCATGACATAGCATGGCGTGGCGACCCCCCAAAGTGAGGGGGTGGCTTCTGCGGCCCAAAAAATCAACGAATCACTTCAGATGATTCTTCGGGAGGCCATTTTCTAGATCTTGGGGCAAGGACCGAAACCATGCCGTGGCATGACATTGGAAATAATGACGCCATCGCTGCAGCGGGAGCACGATTCGGAACGAGCGGAAGCGCGGGAATGAGGCCAGGGCTGCAGCGGGAGCACGATTCGGAGGACGCGGAGCCTGACATAGCATGGCGTGGCGACGCCCCAAAGTGGGGAGCTTCTGCGGCCCCAAAAATCAACAAACCGACAACGAATGTCCAATCACTTGCGATGGTTTTTTCGAGGGGACAATTTCTGGAGCCTATTTGGAAAGACCGAAAACCATGCCGTGGCATGGCATTGGAAATTCGCCGGCCCAACGGGCCAGAGGCGTGCTAAGATCTCCGGTAACTTGTTAACAATATTTCTAGTTCGCGCGCGCAGAGCGGCCCCTGGGGGCCCCCGGACGAAAAGTACCCCGGCAAGGTCCCGAGAGAAGCCCGGGAGAAGCCACCAGACCACTCCAGGGGAGGGTATTTTTCGACACCCCTCACGAGGATCGTGGCCTCCGAGGGGGGAGCCGCAATCGACTACCCCCAAGAGCCCCCCAAGAGGCCCTGGGGGCCTCCAAAACGCCGCCAAGGAGCCCCAAGAGACTCCCAAGAGGTCCCCAAGAGGCCCCCAAGAGGCCCCAAAGAGGGCTCCAGGGCCGGCGGCATGAGCGAAGCGATTAATAATGACGCCAGCGCTGCAGCGGGAGCACGATTCGGAACGAGCGGAAGCGCGGAAATGAGGCCAGCGCTGCAGCGGGAGCACGATTCGGAAAGAGCGGTGGCCCGAAAATGAAGTCAACGCCTCAGCGAGAGCAGCATGTTGAGAAAAAAAAAAAAAACAAAAAAAAAAAAAACAAAAAAAAAAAAAACACTTTACCCGAACGCTCAGTGTTCTCACCAGTGCCAGGGTTTTCATGCGACGCCAGCCAATACCCCCACTTTGTGGGGGGGCAGTGCAAGCTCTACCAAATATCCACACGACTCTTCGCCACCACCCACACCCAGCTTCCCGCCCTATGACGTTCGGACACTTCACTTCGTGGCCTGCGGACGACCGTGGCTACTACACTGGCGTGGAGTACACACCCACAGAAGTTGTTAAGCCTACGTTCGTACACCCACAGAAGTTGTTAAGCCTTGTTAACCCACAGAAGTTGTTAAGCCTTCCACAGAACATCTGTTGCATATGATGCATATGGTACATGATACACATGATACACATGATACGTACTCACAAGATAGTTGATCACATCTTTAGGGCAAATTCCTGAGGGATGTGGGAATACACAAGAGAGAGAGGATATGGTTGTCCCGATGGTTGTCTCGATGGTTGTCCCGATGGTTGTCCTGATGGTGGATCCAACTGTCGGAGCGCCCCGCATAATTTGAAAGCTGTATTATACTCGATGCCCAGGTGGCGGATGGCAGAACCGTGCTGCTCCTCCAGCTCCTGGGCGCTAGAAATACTAACCTTGCCAGGCACAACCCGATACTTGCCCCACCAAGTCTTGCACGCCTGGTGACTGACCTGGATACCCTTTGCAACGAGCGCCTGATGCAAATAATACGGGCTCTCGCAGTCGGCCAAGGGAGGCCGCGACAGCTCCGGGCCATACTGCTCGTCAAGGGCTTTCGCCGTCAAAGCCATGGACCATCCAAGAACACAGGCGATACCTTGATCCGAGATGGCTACGGATGTGCCAGTGATCAGTCGGAGGCTTCCTGGGGCCGCTTGGGGTCCTCTTGGGGAAGGGGGGAAGCCTCCTGGCGCCGCTTGGGGTCCTCTTGAGGGGCTTTGGGGGGCTTCTTGGAAGCATCTTGGGGCCTCTTGGGGGCTTATTGGGTCCTCACGGCGGGCTCTTGGGGCCTCTTGAAGGCCTCCTGGGGCAACCTATGGCGCAACCAGTAGGGGGACGTTTTATTCTCGGCGGCCGAGGGCGCAACCTATGGCGCAACCAATAGGGGGACGTTTTATTCTCGGCGGCCGAGGGCGCAACCTATGGCGCAACCGCAAGGGATTGTGGCCCCTGGCAGGCGCGCGAACCCCGTTGCAAGAGCGTGCGAAAGTAGCTCGCGCGAGCTCATGTAACATAAATGTTGGAAAACCATTGGTTTTTTTAGGATTCGGACAGCGCGCGCGGGTAGAAATTTTGAAAAGTCGTGCAGGTGTTTTTCGAGGACCTACGGTGCGATTCGTGTGATTTTATGATGCGCGGTGCTAAAATTCTTAAGAAGCCCAATGGTTTTTGGAGATTTCGGCGTGCGCGCGCGAAGAAAAAACGAATGTGTCCCGCATGGTATTATTTGACAGGGATGATGGCCCTGGCAGGTGCGCAACCGTTGTCGCAGAAGTTCGAAAAAGTTGCTCGCAAAAGCCCGTTTGACAGAAATGTTTAAAAAGTGTTGGGTTTCCTACGAATCCGCAAGAGCGCGCGGGATGAGATTTTGACATTTTTTGTTGAAAAACCATTGGTTTTTTGATGTTTTTATGTTAAAATCGCTGCGAACACTAAGGTTTTGGAAGGATTTCGTCTTGCGCGCGCGAATGTCCACTTTACCTTATTTTTTGCAAGGGATTCTTGAAATTTGATTATATTAGAACAAGAAATGTCATTTTCTATTGTTTTTTGCAAGGGAAAGCGGATTACAACAAAACAACCGGATCCTGTACACACCCTCTTTTCTGAGGCTTCCTCACGAAAATGATGAAAATGTAGCTGCGGCCTAGGCGGCGCAGGGGGGGCGCGCACCAGGGGGCCCAACAATAATTATTCTTTAGAATAAATAATGTTCAACAACAACAACAACAACAACAACAACAACAACAACAACAACAACAACAACAACAACAACAACAACAACAACAACAACAATTACTAGCACGTGGGGACACTCCGTTCTCACCAGTGCCAGGGTTTTCATAGGAGGCGGGCAATACCCCCACTTTGTGGGGGGGCCGGTTCAAGCTCTACCAAATTTCCAAACGACTCTTCGCCACCACCCACACCCAGCTTCCCGCCCTATGACGTTCGGACACTTCACTTCGTGGCATGCGGACGACCGTGGCTACTATTCAGGGCCCCGCGGCCGACGACGACGGCGTGCGCGCGCGAAGAAAAAACGAATGTGTCCCACATGGTATTATTTGACAGGGATGATGGCCCTGGCAGGCGCGCAACCTTTGTTGCAGAAGTTCGAAGCACGTGAAAAAGTTGCTCGCAAGAGCCCGTTTGACAGAAATGTTGAAAAAGTATTGGGTTTCCTAAGAAATCCGCAAGAGCGCGCGGGGTGAATTTTTGAAACCCTTTTTTTGAAAAACCATTGGGTTTTTCATGTTTTTATGTGAAAATCGCTACGAAGACTAAGGTTTTGGAAGGATTTCGTCTTGCGCGCGCGAATGTGCACTTCGTGTCATTTTTCGCAAGGGATTCTTGAAGTTTGGTCATGTTAGAACAAGAGATTTCATTTTATAGTGCTTTTTGCAAGGGAAAGCGGGCGTCAACAAAACAACCGGATCTGGTATACCCCGTTTTGCCTGAGACTTCCTCACGAAAATGATGAAAATGAGGCTGCGGCCTAGGCGCGGCGGGGGGGTCGTGCACCAGGGGTCCCAACAATAATTATTCTTAAGAAGAAATAATGTTCAACAACAACAACAACCACAACAACAACAACAACAACAACAACAAAACGTTTCCCGGGGATCCTGTGTAAAAAACTACACGCGGAGGGGGGCCAGCCATTTTCTGGACGTCACCAGGGGAGAAAGGAGAGTAGTTATATTGTGTACTTGTGGAGGGGAGGGGAGGGTAGGGAGGAAGAAGCGGGGGAAGAAGGCCGGGGAGATGGAGGTGGAGGAGGGCGGCAACAGGCAGAAGTGGAGTGGGGAGGGGCACAAGGGAACGAGGGATGACAGGTAAGCATATGGGGCACTGCGGGGGCGACTCCCCTAACCCCATCCTCCCCCCTGTCCACCTCCACCGCCTCGTCCTTCTCCGCCTTCTCTCCCTCACCCCCCCCCCTCATTCTCCTCCTGCTGCCCGCACGCCAACTCCTCCCTCGGTTCCTGGACCGGCTCCGGCTCCGGCTCCCCGACACGGACTTCTTGGGCTTCTTGGGTTTTCTGTCCGACGAGGAGAACCCCTGCAGCGGCACCTCCCAGACGGCCCGCGGGCGGCAGACGACGACGACCACCACCACCACCACGACGACGACGACGACAACGACGACAACGACAGCGGCGGCGGCGGCGACGGCGACGACGGTGCAGATGCGATCGATAAGCATGCTGGACAGCCTCCCCTTCCTCCTGATGATTCTCCCTGCCTCCTCCCTCATGCCTCCGTTTTCGTTCCTCGTCCTCTTCCTCTTCCCCGTCCTGCTGAAAATATGGTAGGAGACTTTTTCTCTTGCAGTCGGATGCAACTTGAGCCAGAGATGCAGTTCACACTTTCAACTCCAACTTGGCATGACACTGCTGCTATACAAATGCTACAGTCACACTAGCCTGTCCTGCTCACCCAGTTGGAACACTACAATCTTACACACACCCTCAGACAATCCGCCGGCAGCTGGATACAAAACGAAGACAGAACGCATACATTGTCCACAAAACAGTGCGCTTGCACTGGGGGGCCCCACTTATGGATACCTTCAGAACTGGTGGGTGTGCCGAAGTCTCGCCTGGGCGCCGCCAGGGCGCCCTGTGCGCTGACTGGGTTTGCCGAGGTTTCTCCCGTGGAAACTCATGGGAGCCTCCCAGTCGACGCTAATCGACGCTAAATCGACGCCAATCGACGCGAATCGACGCTAAGTCGGCGCTATCTCATCGACTTCCAGACGCTTGTCGACGCTGATCGACGCTGAAGACGGAGTTGAGAAGGCACACCAAGCTCCCATGATTTGCTAACGACGATTTCGCCTTCTTAGAAAACGCCATGAACATAAACTGTTGGCGGTCCGCGCGGATTTCTTGGATCTGCGCTGGACCCCCCTCCCTGGCGCGCGGAGCGCGCAAGGGGCGGCGCCAGAGGCCCCGCTTGAGGGGGCCCAGCGCGGATCCAAGGAAGCCGCGCGGAGCGCCAAAAGTTTGTGTTTATGGCGATTTCTTCTCTGAGGCACACCAGGCTCCCACGATTCGCTGCCGAAGGTTTCGCCTTCTGGGCGGGCGTGGGCGCGTCGAAGGCGCCCCGAGCGCTGGGTGGGTCTGCCGGGGTCTCTCGCCAGATGGGCGGGGCGTGGGCGCCTCGTCTCGTGGGCGGTCGAGGAGGAGGAGGAAGAGGAGGAGGAGGAGGAGGAGGAGGAGGAGGAGGTCGAGGATGTCGAGAAGGAGGAGGAGGAGGAGGAGGCGGAGGCGGAGGCGGAGGCGGAGGCGGAAGAGGATGAGCCCCCCCGTGCGCTGGGCGGGTCTGTCGGGGTTTCGCCCGGTGGGCGGCCGTGGGCGCCCCGTGGGCACCCTGCGCTGCTCGCGGAACGGCTGGTACCGACACTGCTGCTGCTGCGACTCCAACTGCTCGCTGCTCCCCTGCATCCTCCTCCTCCTCCTCCTCCCTCCTCTCCTCCTCCTCCTCCCCCTCCTCCAAAACATCCTCCTCCTCCTCCTCCTCCTCCTCCTCCCTCCTCCTCCTCCTCCTCCTCTCCTCCTCCTCCTCCTCCTCCCTCCTCCTCCTCCTCCTCCTCATCATCATCATCATCATCATCATCATCATCATCATCAGCAGCAGCAGCAGCAGCAGCATCAGCATCAGCATCAGCATCATCAGCATCATCATCACCTTCTTCATCATCAGCAGCATCATCATCAGCATCATCAGCATCAGCATCAGCAGCATCATGAGCATAATAATAATCGTAATCGTATTCAGAATCAGAATGATAAATATCATGATCATGACCATCAGCATCATCATCATCAACATACATCATCATCAGCCTTATAATCAACAGCATCATCATCATAAGAATCAGAATCATCATCAGCATCATCATCGTCGTCATCATCATCAGCATCATCATCAAAATCATCAGTATCCTCATCCTCATCATCATCGTAATCGTCGTCGGCGTTGTCCTCGTCGGAATCATCATTAACTTTCACCAACATCAACCGTTACGATCACCAGCACCGCCACCACTACCACCACCGCCACCCAGCACCATCATCACATCATCATCATCATCATCATCATCATCATCATCATCATCGTCATCATCATCACCCACTTCTTCATCATCATCGTCATCATCATCATCATCATTGTCAGCATCATCTTCGTAGCCGTCGCCGTCGCCGTCCCGTCGTCATCATCATCACCGTCATCATCATCATCATGAGCAGCAGCATCAATATCATCATCATCATCATCACCATCATCATCATCATCATCATAATCATCGTCATCGTCGTCGTCATCGTCATCGTCATCGTCAGCATCATCAGAACATCAGCAACAGCATCATCGTCATCAGCATCATTATCTTCATACGCATCCTCATCATCAGCAGCATAATCATCGTCATAAAAATCCTCCCTCAACATCAACATAATCATCAGCATCATCGGCATCACCAGCATCGTTATCATCATCAGCCTACTCATCAGCATCGTCGCCTTATCAGCATCATCAGCATCATCATCACCAAAATCAGCATCATCATCAGCAGCATCATCATCGTCATCATCAGCATCGTCATCATCAGCATCAGCATCAGCATCAGCCTCGTCATCATCAACAACAACAGTATCAGC